TGTGTGTGTGTGTCTTCCCTCAGGATCTTGATGCTCTGTTATCTCTCTAGACATCTGTGACATATAGCAGACCCCTGATATTTATTCTCTGCAGCCTACTGTTAGTTCAACTGTGCACACATATTGTAGTTTGTATGTGAACATGGATGTTGTTACACTTACTTTGAATCTGATTCTCAGTTGTAGATTACATTAGACAATATGGCAGTTATGTCAAATCACATAAAATGAACTGATGTTCAGTACAATGAACGATTATTTACTATTATACTTCACATATCAAAAACTTCAAATTGATGTGTTTTTATTTTTTTATGAGTAATTTAGACAGTAGAACTGTGGTAAACAATGAATTATAACTTTCTTTCACTGAAAGCTACTAAATTATACTGAATATTATCATTCAACCTTAGGTTTAGTTTATTGGTCATCTTGTTTGTTAATTCATGAGAATCCAAAATCATCTACGTGTCCTCACTGGCTCTTACGTATGAGTCGAAGTAATTCCTGGAGTTTTGCCTCAGACTATCCCACCAAAACCCATCTAGAGATAAACTCTTAACAATGATAATATCTAGAAATTCATGAATAAAAAAAGATGTGAAAATCAAGATATTGAGCTCCTTTGGCTCTGTCGAGGGCAATATTGGTCTGACAGTGGGCTGGTCATTTGGTCCACCACTTGACTATCTCAACAACTATTTGATTTATTGCTAACAAATATTGTATAGACATTCATGGCCTCCAGATGGTGAATGGTGATTTTACACAACGTACCACCTCAGANGTTGAATCCTGAACGGAACCAGTTCTACTAGTTCAACTGGAGATCATTAAGTGGGGAGGTCCTCTGGTCCACACTTTTCTTCCCATAGTTCCCATCTGGAGCCACAGTTGCAGTGTTTTTTGAACCATTGATTTTCCATCCACCTACTACCTTGCCATCGAATTTTTGATCATCATTAATTGTGACGCATGAGTGTGCTACGTTCATGGATGTTCGTAGCAGGCTTATATTGAGACAAATTATTACCGGAATTGCAAAACTTATTTTAAATGACACTCAAGTGATCTCATAGTTTAAGTAGTTTTATTCTGAATTGTCTAGTATTTAGGGACTCACGTACCACTGGTGGTACACATAATTCGAGGACCAGGGTCTACCACATATGTTAACTTTATTCACCATGCTATTTGTCTACCACTCTGTCTGCAACATGGTGTTTTCAAATTTATACTGCAGATTTATTTGCAACCATTCATCTATTCTCCTCCATTTTTATGTTTCTGTATGTTTCCGTTCTCATGCTTCTGTGTATTTGTGTGTGTGTGTGTGTCTGCAGAGCCCTGTGCTCCGATATCTTGAGGGCTCAGTGCTGCAGTCAGTCAGAGGATTGGCCCTCATTCAATCCTCAGCGGGGGGCCAGTACAGAGGGGCTATTAGATGCCAAATGAACAGGCAATTTCAGTAGCCTGGATGCAGCCCCAGAGAACACTTCATTTCTGTTTTTAACTCGTATATTCCCACTAATGATGTGTGGTCAACCAGCAAATTTGTGTAAAAATAAGACAGCTGCATCACGGCTCCTATTTCACATCTTTAAAAAATTTACTTTTTTTTTTTTTGTTCTCTTTTAATGAAAGAAAGTCATTTCTTTTGGTTGAACATTTGGGTTGTTCAGGAACTTTGACTGTTGCATTTTTTTAATGCTACATTGTTGTTCAATTTCATGCACTGCAGGCTGCTTTCCCAGCATTTTCCACTAGGAGAAGCTAAATGCCATCTTAATGGACTTTTTCAATATAATTATTGCTGTGTTAACATCCACAGAGCTCACAGCTTGTGGTGGTATTTAAACACAACGTACATCTCATTCTGCACCACTGCTATCCAAGGGGATCACGGCATATGCTCCTGGAAGGCACGTGCCCTAGACCACCACACACACACACACCCCAGATCTGAGACAACAGAAAAGGTCTTTTGTAGCATCTTTCTGAGGATTGCTAACAGGTTGACCACATTAACTTCCTGAAAAGAGGAAAGTTGTTTTTCCCTCCGACAGCGCATTCCCATTTTAATGAGAGTTTTTCCTCGATTAGCCGGCTGATGTATCAAGTTCTACACTGGATCAAAGCTGCTCTAGGTGGTGCTCCAGGTTTTTATTACTTTGTATTTAAAAGTTGGGGGAGATTGAGCATATCAAATGATTATTAGCTTCCAAGTTTCCACATAGACTATAGATGAAGGTATTATCAAGTCCATGAATGGAATAAAATAACGTCACAAAGGGAAAACTTTATTTTATAAAGGGAGGAGTGATTTTTCTTTACCTCTTTTTTTCTACAGAAGAAGAGAGCCAGTAGAAATGATTCTGGCTGCAGGGTATCTGCAGGTCTTTAAGTCATAGTTTGCAAAAGGCATTTTGCCTCCCTTAGCCCATAGGCAATATGTTAACTATTTGTATACCTCCTTACTGAAAAAATGTGATACAAGTAAGAAATAATGCCCGACGAAGTGTACCCCACTGCGCGCCTGACAGTTCTTGCCTCCCTGTTGTCCTCGAAGGGCATTATTCCACTTTTCATTATATAGAATTCCTACCATGGTCACTTATGCAAGTAATAACAAGACTAGCTAGCTATCCAGCCATGTCATTGTCATCAATATCAAGACTTTCACTAACAAAATGGGGCATGTGTCACTTACTGTCGGCTGCACTGAATAGGGAATGGGATGTGAGATGATTGCTTATTCATACCGGTAGTATCAGTAAGTTCAGACAGGCGGTGTGATTCTTGCAGCTTGTGTGTTACAGTCGCCATCCTGTGATGTTCAGAGGATAAGGCACTGAAGGACTGAATTTAATTTATTTCAGTGGATTCATCAACAATGAACAGACAGATTTACTGGAACTACTTAACTACTAATTTAGTATTCACTCAATACTACTTGAGTATTCACTCAATTAACGCTAGTAGTCAAGACCATCATGATAGTTCTATGCCTTATTGTCCCAACTTTTCCATCATACTTTTACACTTTGGCTGGTATGATAATTTATGTGATATTACAAATGTTTTAAAAAGTCTTAAATTTAACTTGGTGAATCCTGCAGAAACCCTGTGGCTGACTAGCAGCATATGCAGTGCCATATTATTTCTCACTTGTTTTATCCAGACCACATTTGACCGGTGGTTGATTCACAGTAGAGACGGGTTCAGTCCACATTCAGGCGCCCCTGTCCATTTGCCCTTCCCACATCGACAAAAAAAAATCGTTTTTAGCCCATATTGTGGCGATGGAGTAAATGAGGTGACCTATGAGTAAAAGGGCTTCATCAGAACGGAAATGACGCCCAGGGCTTCCCTGCTGTCAGTGTCAGGGCAGGAAACGCTTCCTGCCCTTTCCCCACCATGAATTCATTTAAGTGTGAGAGTCACTCAGACGTGAAACTAAATTGAAGTTCTTAAAATCACTTGCCACAAAAAGTGCAGAATATCTTTCTTTCTTTCTTTCAATTTATCAACTGGTTTAATTTAATGGATTCCAAATGTGATTTCTCCAGTGACTACTTCACATTCCTGTAGAGCTGTGGAATGATTTCCTGCTTTCGAGAGAGAAATGGAGAGGAAGGGAGGGTAACTGGTTGACAGATGGGGTGTTAAAATAAGTTGAAAGCAATGAAAAAGACAGCCAGGCACAGAATAAAAGCAAATAGCAAAGACTCAGAATTTGAAACAAGACATGGCTGCATATTTGTAGCATAATCATAAACAAAACACTCTAATACAAACATTCATTGGAAGTAACTAAGATGATCACCTGATCCGCAACTGCTGTACTAATTCTAGTGTGTATTCTTCCTTCAGTCGAGAACGAGAGTCACTGCGACTTTGTAAAACTCCGAGAGATGCTGATCAGGGTCAACATGGAGGATCTGAGGGAGCAGACCCACGCCCGCCACTATGAACTGTACCGACGCTGTAAGCTGGAGGAGATGGGCTTTAAGGATACGGATCCTGACAGCCAGCCATTCAGGTAGAGTGCTTGAAGAGTGGAAGAGCATACACACTCGCCCACGCACACAAAATCCAAAACCACAGAGCGCGGTTGACGGTGTGTCAACCGCAGGGAGAGTCTGTATTGTTTAGAGACAATGCCTAATCCTTTCCTGTCTATTTTCACTCTGTCCTCTATCCTGTCTATTCTTCTCTCCAGTCTTCAAGAGACATATGAGGCCAAGAGGAAAGAGTTCTTGGGGGACCTGCAGCGTAAAGAGGAAGAAATGCGACAAATGTTTGTCAACAAAGTAAAAGAGACGGAAGCAGAACTGAAAGAAAAGGAGAGAGAGGTCAGTCAAAAGTGTGTGTGTGTGTGTGTGTGTGGTAATGTGGCACAACAGCAGCACCGAGGACAGAAGGTCAGAAAATATTGATCAGTAGTGCTGGGCGATATGCTCGATGAACCGCTTTTCATAGTTGAATGAGTGCATAGTTGAAACAATTGCTGCAACTAATTGATTTCTTGTGCAACAGAACATTTAAATATTTTGAGTTTTTTATGTCTCTTTATATTGTTTGTACAATTGTTGTAAAATATCTAGTTTTGAAAAGGAAGCAATATTTTTCTGATTCCTTCACATATTGTATCATTTTGTTGGGCCAATAAAACCCTATATATATATATACTATATATTCTATGTACTCCTCACAATAGCATAAGCCACTATAGACCTATATAAAGGGCCAGTCATGCATACATTTTGAAATAGACTGTGACAAACCACCAGAATCTTAAAAAATAGCATGATATTAATTTGTCATACCGCCTAGCACTACAGCCCAGTGACAAATCTTTATTTATTAATTTTATTGAACCTTTATTTAGCCACGGGGAACCCATTGAGGCAGAGGTTTCATTTTCGATTCACAACATGCATACAATAAAACAATAAAAATATATACTCAAAAAAGGTAAAAACAATCATCAAAAGTCATAAAGTGCAGTGTTGAAACTCAAGAAAAGGTATGCCTCAATTGTAAAATGATAAATAATAACATATTCAAGTTAAAAGACGTCATGGTAACACTATTTGAAGCATTCACAGGCCTCGACATCTAAGTCATTTACCAATTCTTTGAATTTGCCCAAAGAGATTGGAGCATTTAACTTGATGGTTCCTTGAAACTTATGTATTGAGGGATGTGGGTAATTAGGAATTTTTCATAACATCCTTATGAAATAAACTTCAGAAAGGGTGTTCATGTACCTGTTCTAACTTCCTAATATCTTTTCTTTTTACCTAATTTCTGTCCATCACCACCGCTGCGCTCCTCCTTCCCTCTCAGCTGCACGACAAGTTCGAGCAGCTGAAGCGGATGCACCAGGAGGAGAAGAGGAAGGTGGAGGAGAAGCGGAGAGACCTGGAGGAGGAGATGAACGCCTTCAATAGGAAGAAGGTGGCAGCCGAGACGCTCTCCTTATCCCAGCCCCTCAAGAAAGACAAGGACAAGAAAAAGTAAGTCAGTCCCTTCTCTCTATCACTCACTCACCTTGGCATGGGACGATACGAAAATGTAACGATTATCTTGGCCAAAATAATCGCAATACACAATATTATCGCGATAATCATGAACATTTACTTGTTCTGTTCTTTATTTTGGAATCCAACCATTTCCACACCATTTCATTCCATTTCTTTTGGTGGGAGATTAAATGGGCGAGCCGAGCCTTCATCCACGGTGACAGGATTAGGATTTTGGAATGACTGGAAAGACGTGGGCTCCTCTTTATCCCCATGTTGAAAATAAATCAGGAAATCATTCTGGGACTGTATGCTGGTGAGCTGGACAGCTTTTTCTAGTCCAGCCACGTCAAGATATTCATGATTATCACAATAGTGTATTTTATCAGGATATACACTAATATCGTATATCGTCCCATCCCTACACTCACCTCATTCTATTCTCCATACCAGAAAGCTGCTTTTTCCAACCCTGCTCCTTTTTTTGGACTAACCCTGTCGTTTCTTAATCTGTGCCTTAAATCCTGAAATGATTTCCTTCTTTGTACACCAGCTTGTCTCGTCTCTTCTCTGCGTGCTCTCTAACCCCTGTCACAAGTTCTTTTAGCAGGAGGTTTGCATTCTGCCGCAACGAACCTTTAACAGAATGTGCTGCGCAGTTGTCGACCTATCTCCAACACACAAGCATTTAAGCTATTATAAATGCCTGGCATGTGTTAAGGAAACTTCCTCCCCTTTTTGTCCTGCCCAAGCTTAACATTTCCTGTCCTTTCACTCTTTCCTTTTGCCTCGCTCTAATTATTCAGGATATTCAGGGAGGAGTCAGTGAACTCACTCGCCGAGGCAATCGAAAGCTTGGCTTATAAATAGGTGATGCAGAATGCGGCTCACACAGTGCTAAACTGATTTTCAGTCAGGGGTATGCTGATGGTGCTTACACACACGCAGGTGTAACTAGAATTCAGACTTTTTATTTCACTGCACTGCAGACCATTTTCTTTATTTTTCCAGACAGCCATTGGTTCCTGTTCCTGTCAGTGTAGTGTGACACCGGCAGACATGTTGCAGGCTCATTATTCAGTGACACATTGCAGTGGACGCCATGTCACCTTTACTTTCTTGTCTATAGTACGTAGAGTAGTAGTAGTAGTAGTTTAAAAATTCCTTGAATGCATATACTCTGTGGCCAAAAGTATGTAGACAGACCTGTTCATCAGACCTGAGCGCTATAAATAAATGTTTTTTCAAGTTTGGTTTGTAAGAACTTGACTGCTTCCTGACCTCAATGCTATTTAACACTTCTTTTGGAAAAATTGGACTGCAGACTGAAGGCCCGGCCTCATCAGCCAACATCAACACTAAAGATCTTGTGGCTGAATGGGTGCAAATCCCTGCCGTCACAGCATCATCAATTACAGCACATATACCCGTCACATATGGGTGTAATGTTCAGGTAGCTGCTTTGTAGCTTTGTGCAGTGTTTCCCATCACCGCACCACCAAGGAAGTTTTTTCAGAAGAAATCCTAGAAAAATGAGACAACTGTAAATATAGTTTTGTGCCTGTGAGTTCAGCTTCAAGCTGTGCTGAGAATAACTGAAGCTGATGGCTGTCTGGGAGGTCGGAAAATGATCTGAAAACGTACGCTGAGCTTTGGACAAATGATGTGCAGCGACAGTGAAGTGTACTGGACGCAGTTTATGTCTGAGGCCTGAAATGTGAGAACTCATATGAGGACATGTGGCTCCATCTTGTGGCTGCTCACACACTTTATCAGCGCTGCTGTAGGAAAACTGATCTTCCATTTTGAGGTTTAGTAAAGCGATTCCACAGATCCTTAATCTGCTCTTTTGACCCACTTGAGGGAACGTATTGATATTAAACTTTATTGCAGATTAAATGTAGCATTCAGGAGTGATGTTTGAAAAGGAGAACGTACAGCTCCCCCCACTGACAGATTAACTACATCATATTGAATGTAGTGGTGATGGCTCACACTTCTGTTTTCTCTTCACTAACACAAGCACTGGTATTTACTCTAACTGCAGCACCTCTTTGCTTCAGTGCTCCTTTATTAGTTGTCTGTAAAGCTGTAAATCTTTTCATTACTCATTTATTATTTCCATAAAGTAGTTGTTTATTCATTCAATTTATTTTGTTTATTGTTTGTCATTGTTTTTCAGTTAATTTATGGGCGCTGTATACCCTCCCACACACGACCATGGATTTGTCCTCCATCACCATACAACGACAACACCTGTTTATTTTGTCTGTTTGTTTGTTTTTTTGTTTTGACATTCCATCTTGACATTGTGCACATGGACCAAAGACACTGAGGATGATGGTGATGATGATGATGATGATGATGGTGATGAAGCCACAGGGGAGAAAAGAGGGAAAGATGGTGAGAGATAAAGAGGAAATTGCCAACAGTGGCCATCTCATTTGTTCAGGATCTTTCATTCTCTGTTTTTTGTTGTTTTGTTGTTTTTTTGGACACTTTTTATATATATGCATTTTGTTTTTCTATGTTGTGATTTAAAGATTTTTTTGCCATCAACTATTCACACAGAAACGAGAAGCCCTTCAAACCTTTTGGGTACTACAGTGTAACACAGCGGGCAAGTCATTTGAAACCATTCAAGATGTATTTAAAAAAATATATAATTATGATGAGCTAGATTTTATAGGACTGACATTCAAATTAATAATTGAAGATATCATGAAACAAAGCCTTTCCTTAAGTATTTTTAAATACACGAGCTGTTTGAAATGTTGTCCAGTTGTGGTATGTCTGTTAACCTTTCTATAATCTTTAGAATTTATATTAAGTACAGTTCACAGTAGAATAAATCCTGTATCAAATGAGCCCAAATAATACATTTAAATAGCATTATGTCAAGCAATAAAACTGAGTACCTGTATACTGTGTATATATCACTGCATATACATAGGTACTGACAACTTCAAACTTAGTCTTAAGTCTTAATAAAAACGTATGCAATATTCTGGTGCTGTTTCATATTAACTCTATACATGTATGTGAATATTTTCTAGAGCTTTCCCAGCTTAATATGCAAAATGTACTAGTTTTTGAATATGATATTATTGTAAGAAGCACATATGACGGTGTACATTGTCCATAAGTAATGTAACTTTATTGTAAACCATGAGTGATCGCCTTGATGTGAGTGTTGTGACAGTGGACACAAACATGAAGCCAGTATGCACACACACACAAACGCACACACAGAGAGGATTCAGGAAAACATAGAAGCCTCAGCTCGCTGTAGAAGAGTTTACACTCAGAGATGGAGAGAAGAGAGCAGCTGTATTTACTGTCTGTCGTTGAAAATAAATGCAAACCCCCCCCCCCCTCCCGACTTTGATGTGTCTCTCTGCCATGATTTGTTTGACGATATTCATCCGGTAGGGAGATGAAAGGAAAACACAGGCAGGTGAAGACACTTATTCCCTCACACACACAAAGGCAACACGCAGTGGCTGTCAGCCTCATCTGTAACCCAAACAGCTGTCTGCTTGAGGAGCGCCATTTCCTGTTTAGCGATCCCTAACTAAAGAGCCGAGGGAGGTGTGCTCAGTCTGCACACAGTCCTCCCCGCTTTCACAACCGGGCTGCTGACCTAAGCTTGTGGATGGGAGTGTGAGTGTGTGCAAAACGGCACGTTTACAGTGTGTTTGCCAGAGGTGGAGAGAAAAATGTGTGGTGTAAGAAATATGTAAAATTTATTGACTTTGCTTGTCAGTGGATGAAGTGTGTGAAAGGGGGCTGATGTTGGTTGAGTTTGTGTGTGTATGTGTGTATACAGTATGCGTGTTAACACAAACTGCAGCCAGCTGTTGCTTTTGTTTAAAACTGCTTAAAATGGCAGAATTTCAACACTCAGTAACAGCTTCATCTCCTTGGCAGCTTTTCCTCATTCTAGTATAAAAATGCTAAAAGTTTGCAACATAGAGTGGGTGATGTAGGTTGTGTTAGGACATTCTAGCCGAGTACTTGCTCATTTAAATACTAAACACTGTTCTATTGACATGACACACAAACAGTACTGTTTTTGCTTGGTTGGGTCAGTAATAATTTAGAATAACTAATGTATTCGGCCTGCAACTAAAGATTGTTTTCATTATCAGTTCATCTGTAAATTATTTCCTCAGTCAAATGATTCATGGCTTGGTTGGTAAAACATCAGAAAACAGCTTTAAAAAAAAAAACACCCACCACAGTTTGATAGAGCCCAAGGTGACCACTTCAACCACTGCTCATTTTTTGAGTCATTTCCTGCATTATGTTTATTTAACACAGAGCGTGTGATTTATTGGAAACAGAGAGAGGAAGTTGCAGCATATTACTATAAGATCTTCCCCATGTAATGGTTTTTGTGTTTACTGTGAAGTCCCTGCCAGCACTATTATTATTCTGTCCGCCACCTGCAGGGCTCACTGGATCTCATCCAGCAGTACCGTCTGTTCAGAGCTCTCTGTTCCTTTAGTACACCAACGCACTCAAGTGATAATGACTCTCCGACAGTCTGTTCTACATATAGGACAACATGGTGGCACACCTTGGTGATTTCAGTCATTTGGGAGGTTTACTCAAGGATTTAAGAGATGAAGGCTTGAGAACTTGAAGTTGACGAACCAGAAAACAACACTTTAGACTTTTGAAGTCATAGCTTTATTTCTGTGTTTGACCAGACAATAAGATTAGCTGCCTCAGTAAATGAAGGAATGAGAAAAAACAAAACAACAACCTTTATATTGGTCACTGGTGTTGCATCCAGCTTAACTGGTTGAACCAAAGTAGACTTTTACAGTGGAGAAAACTGACAGTAACCAGTTCACATTAAAGATAACGTTGCTGGTTTTCCTCCTGAACACAGTAACAATTTCAGCAGCCTAGAGTCAAAGAATGAAAATAAAAAAAGTCTGTTTAATGTCTTCAGGCTTCAACTGTTTGGACACTACCTGTTCATGTATGAGCCTACATTAAATACAGTTTTGAATCGAAACATATGTTCAGCTTACATGTCTTACATGATGAGACTGACATATGACAGAACTAGGAGGTATTTACAAAAAAAGGATACTTTTATCCAGATACTTCATTATCAATAATATGACAAATATTTGTGGTATGATTATTGGTGCTCTCATACAGTATGTAATAAGAAAATATATTGAACATTTAAATGAGAACATTGATGCTGGATCTGGTAATCTCATGATGTCAAAGCAACCAATTTTTTTTTTTTTGTCATTCTTCTCTAGTGTTGAACTAATCTCCCAAAAAGGTACACTTGTTTGATATGTAAAAACAGTTGCATAAAGTAAAAATCAACATAGGCGGAAGCATTCATGAAATAAAATCATTTGCAGCATTTAGTCGTGAAATTAAAGCTTTTTTTTGTCAAATGCAACTTCTGTAAATAACTGGTAAATAAAAACACAGCACAAGAATGTTTAGTACAAGTAAGTAAGAGATTAAAATAATAAAAAGGTTGTGAAAAAATATAATTATTTGCATTAAAAAAAAAGAAAAAAGAAAAAAGCTTGTCAATCTCAAAGTGCTATGTGGTTCTGGGTGGAACCTGAGCACCAAGATACCCTCTGAACAAAATCAGGATCAACTCTCAAACATAAAAAAAAGCCATTCTTGGCCTCAACCACACTCAAAAACACACACACACACACACACACACACCTTAACCCCTCAACTTGTTAGACCAAACTTGCGGTGGATATAAAGTACAGGTAGGTTAAAAAGTAGAAAACAAATATGTAGAAAAAAGGTAGAGAACTTAATGGACCAATAACTCTTCACCAAGGAGAAACATTCAAATCTTGATTCAGTCAGGCTCAACAAGTGCCCACATTCTCTCCTCAACTGCGCGTCAACACAAAAGAATCAGTTATGGCATCCGGATAAGAGGCTGACGCGAACACTGACGCAGAAACACCTCCAGATTCACATTTAGGTGCAGACAACTGCACAAAAGGTTCTAAAACAATATTTAAATCTGACCCCAGCCAGGCCATAGAGAACATTTTGTCCTGCCTTTTCTTAAATCTTTAGTATCAGTTCCTAAATGTCATGGCAGGTGAGTAACATCTGGATTAAAGTCTGAGTGCCCAGTGAAACTTACAATATTGAGGCCGTAAAATGTGCTTTGTTACAGTATTCATTACATTCTCACTGTGAAATGGGAGCGCTGAGCACTTGTAAAGAGGTGGTCGGTGTGAATAAATGTCTGATTAGTTGACGGCAGGGTGCAGCGGTGGGCAAGGCGAGGCGTTTTTCTGCTGGGAAGCGAACAAGCCCTCGGCGCCTTTCCCCTCCGCCCCTGGAGTCGTCTCCTCGTTGTACAGACACCAAAAACCGTCGTAATACTCATCAGAGTCCCCCTGCTCTCCGCTGCCCTGCGCCCTCCTGGCGTGCCTGAGGGGCTGCGTGGGGCTCGGGGCTCGCTCCTCGTCTTGGATCTGGGCGCTGTCGAAGATGTAGACCGCATTGGCCGGGAGGGAGAACTCCAGGCTGTGTAGGTACTGGTCCACTATCTCTTTGCAGTGGATGAACTCGCTACTGTCCACCTGGGAAGAGCAGAGGCATCAAAATGGGTCAAATGCTACAAGCAGGAACGAGATGCAACCACAGATTACCTTTCAGATTATTAAAGAAAGAATTCTGATGTTGCAGTGGTAAGTTTTGTGTATTTGAGGACGCAGGACTGCGTATATTGACAACGTTTGTGCAGGTTTGTGCTGTAGTATTTTCAGTTCACTAAGATATCCTCTCCTTCCCTTGTGATTTTTTTTCCTGACAGTGGTGGTGCCGTGCAAGCAGCTGCTTTTACCAAAGATGTGTGTCGGTTTTTGGCAGAAGACCTGAATGTGCCTTTTAGTGGTGCATTCATTGAAAGCACCGTCCAAAATGAATGAAAATAAATGCTAAAGAAGGTGCGCAAGTTTGTAAAATAAACAGATGAAAATTACTCAAGGTTTTTGAAAAATAGCATGGGACATTAAATATAAAACAACGACTGCTAGCTTACATAACATTAAAAATCCATGGTGCCTGGGCTGTCAGGAGAGTGTAAATACTTACATACTTGAAAACCTCCTTTTCAGCTCCAATTAATCAATACATAAATCCCTCTAGTGATTGGAGGCACAGCGATGACTCACAAATATTTGGAAGCTGTGCAGTCATTTGTTGAAAAAAAATAAAAGACTATTTGTTTTTTTTAACATAAATCCAGAGATTGTTGACGAGAATTACTTAAAATGTGTTTATTGTCAGTGCTCTCTGGTGGACTAACTAATGTTTCCTAAATACAGGTTCCAATATATCTGGCTACAATGGAGAAAAACTCTTCAGCAGGCCTGTGCATTTCTCTTACTTGTGCTCTCTTCAGCAGATCGGTGAAGACCGAGAACCAGTCGGGCGTCAGCACCTCCAGCTCCAAAGTGATGATGGCCAAGGCCAATGTGGAGCCCTTGAACTGCCAAAGCTGGTGGCAGGCCATACAGTGCTGCACCTGCCTGGTCCACAGCGCCGCCTGGAAGCCCGGGGGCCTCTTCTGATGCCCCGGCCCGGCGCCAAGCGAACCGGGGTCTGTTGTCGAGTCCCAGCCGACGCCGGAGCCGAGCCCAATGGACGGAACGAGGTGAGGGTGGCCCGAGACGAGCAGGGCATGGAACTGGACCAGAGATGTAGGCAGAGAAGCGAAGAGGAACGAGACCAAAACGTTTAGCGTAACGATGTCATTGTTGTCTCATTGGTCATCCCATAACCCCCTCCATTACTTCATTATTCTTAACATGAAATATACCAGTGCATTTAACGTCCAACCATGCATATCTGACAAACAAAATAAGTCAACACATTGTTCATCCCTTCAACCACACAGGACACCGTCACTTTGCTGATTCTCTACTCGTCTCAAGTGTTCATTGCTGCATTAAAAGCTACTGTAAAAGCGTCCAAACCTGGGGCTCTGTGCAGGAAGACACTTAGCGGGTGTGAGTAGCAGGTAGTGAATCCCGCTATCAGGTTTTACTAATCAAGACCCTCCCGTTTTGCCTGAGGAATCATAGTAATCTTGTTCGTATTGTATCGTACGTGCAGTGCTTTTCTGTGTTCCCATTTGTAGGCAGGAACTGTAAATCCCAACCTGAGTGGGGGCTCGGTGTTCAAAAAAAAGAAAAAGAAAAAAAAAAAAGACGCTTTGACTTTTAACTTGACTTTTCTCCAGCTAACAGCTTGTTGGCTCACTTCATTGAAACCAAAGGAGCTCTGTCCCTTGGTTTCAATGGAGAACGCTAAAGTGATTTCCTGGTTTTCCCTTGAAAAATATCAAAGCATTCTTCTTATGTTTGTCACAGTTTTCACTCACGTCGTGTTCGGCTCATTTGCTTTAGTTTGTCTCTTACTCTGTAGCAAAATTAAGCCATGGGTTTTTTAAAAAGGAAGTGGAATTTACTGGGAGGTAGACTCAGCAATGTGGTGCCAAAGTGAACACCTTTTTGCTGAAAAAACAGCTGCTCTTTCTAAAAATCCCTTCCTCCTCAAGTTTTCCCTCTTCACTCCATTTTTGGAAATGTCGGGAATTCAGGGTAATGTAGCAAACAAGGAAAATTGTGTGTTTAGTTTCCGACAGCCCTGATACAGCCTGAAAGATTTGAGCATCACATAGCTGACTCTGCCTTTCAAAATAAAATAGAATTTTACTTGGATGTTGGAGCATATTGAGACGTAATGGCAAAAGGCATCTCTGTAAATCGTCTTGTTTAAATCATATCAAAGTGTCATGGTGGACAAATAATTGATAGATTTTATGGATTGCTGTTTTATAGACAATGGAGAATTATTTAGGAAAGGGGAATTCTTCAGTGCAGGGGGAATGTAATTACAGTATACTTACAGTATAGTTATAAAGTATTTATTTGAATAGTATAAAAAAGAGAAAATGTCTTTATTTTATTATAGTTTTTATTAATACATTATGTCTCTTTATTTTAAAAGAAAAAGTCTTGGATTTTTGTAATACCTAATGTGAAGTGCTAGGACAATAATAGACACACAATAATAACTCCACACACTGTAAACCTATGGACACTAATATTACTCAGTTCCACAAACCGTAACAGAAGGGGAAAGTGCCATTTCTAGTTTCACAGAAGACACAAAAAAAAAAATCAGTCCAAATGTGCCAAGCTGCTTTTTTTTTGGGGGGGGGTGACAGTTTATGGTTTGTGGCTTTAAGAAAATGCATCAGTCCTCCGTCAATTTCAATATCAAAACAAATCTAAACGCTGTTATCTATTAGCTGTGGGAACGCAGATTGTCCTTTGGCCCGGGGCAACATTACTGATCAGAATGGACGACAAGACGTCAACTGAAGGGATTTCTTGACCGAGTAAATCAATATCTTCTAGAAATATCACTGTCAGATTTATTTGAGATGTGTGTGTGTGTGTGTATCTGGATTTATCGTATCCCTAAACAAACTGAGGAAGTCGTCCCAATTAAAATCCTTTTGAATAGTGTGGATCAATACAATGTGTAAACTATTTGTCAAGAATGTTTTGGGCTGCATTCATAAAAATAAAAGCCCTGAGCCCCAACAGCATGAAGGGACCTCAGTAATGTCTGTTTGTTGACAGTCAGTGGTGAAGACTTTAGGCAATTAGGTGTGAGGGTTTTAATGATTAAACTACAGTAAACAGGTCCGTGCTGTGAAACCAATATTATGCCATAAGCTGGTTAACAGCATGGGATTTATTTTTTATTTTTTTTTAAACGGTGACAAACCTTTCTTTGACATTACAATTCACAGCATGTTATAGACACGCTAATGACCCGCATCGTCTGTTACTGGAGGGTTTGGGTTCCCGCTGTGGGTGCTGCAGGTAGAGTTAGTCAGAAGTGCCTTGGCCTGATGTGCAACACGCCTGTTATTTTGCTGGCAGCTTGCAAAACGCAGACTTAACATGGTTCGAGGAATCTCACACAGCTCTATTCAGACCGCGTGCTGAAAATGTGTCTTTGTTGCTTTTTTTTTTTTTTTGGTCCGCAAACACAGATTTCTGGTAATTGGCCTGGGTTTGTACTGTAACTTGGGTTTGTTTAGTGTGCGGTTTTCAAGTCCAATATTGTTACTGTTGCACTGAAGCTGCAGATTGCTGGCAATGTAGAACTTTAAAATGGGCCTTTATTAAGCATTTAAATAAAAGATATGGCACTAAAAGCAGTGACTTTTAGAGTTAGCAGTTCAAGAAAGGTGATTTATTCTGTTAGAATAGATCTTTAAAACTACTGAGTGAAGTGTACAAAGACAATAAAATGTCTTTTCAGGTTTAGCAAACTGTTTTTATTATTGTTTAAACCAATATTTAATAATATTTTATTCTCAAGCATTAGAAAACCAAATGTAAATTTAACATACACTAATAAGACTGATTTTATTACTCGCATTAGAGAGAGGAATTATTTTATGTTCCCTTCTTTGCCACAGTGATTATTAAAAAGGAAAGGACACACTCCAATCAGGACTGACTGGAGTTTATAATAATAATAATAATGGGCACAATGAGTGAAATCTTATAATGCACAATCTGTACTAGGACCATTTCTAAAATGTGGGGGGCAGAGGGGGTGTGAGGGTTCATAAACACCATCTTGAAGCAAACATGAAGCAAGCATAATGGTTTAAATGTGTGCTTTTGTACTGCTGTGTTTTTAGGCAAGACCAGGGACCTGAGTTCACAAAGCATCTCAAAGTCCAGCCGGCGCACTATGAGATGCTCTGATCGCTCAGGTCCAGTAAAAAACAAAAAACTAAAAAACAAAAACCCAGTTACGTTTGCCTGTCTTTCTGCTGAATTCTGACTTACTATGTGAATGAAGTCGACTGGTGTTGCGGTGTACAAGTCCCAGTGAAGCTTGTCTAGAATGATCCTCTCCATGCGAAGAATCTCCGCTGTTGAAAAGTTGCATCCGCTCTGCACAACCAGGTCTTTAACAGAGCCTATTACCTGTTTAAACAGACACCAACAAAAAGGGAAGCAAATAAATGTATTGTTTTGAAGTAGCATTGACGTGGGTGTCTTTTTTTGTTATCTGACATGTTCTGCTTTTTGAATCCTTACAAAGAAAAAAGAAAAAGGAAAATCTTACCTCATCTTCTTCATTGATTTTGGCAGCCAGGACCAACGAGGTAAAAGCGATGCATTTCAGGTATTTTGGTTGGGCCTGAGAAAGAAAAAGGCTCCATTTAATTCTTATGAAGCACACAATTGCATGGATAGAAGAAACAAACATCAGGAATCAGATCCTTTTTTTTTTTCTTACTGCTTTAACATATTCTGACTATCAGTAAGAGAATTTAGGAAATGAGCACATTTAGTTTGGTATTTCTCATCAACGATCAATTCTAGTGGTGATCAGAAATATGTGTCCTTTAATAGGACAATTATACTTCTTAGGTCATAGTGAGAGGACAGATTTGCACTACTATCATCTCTGTCTCCGCAAAGCAAACTAGTAGCTCATTTTATCATTTAGGTTTTGATTTGTGCAGCTGCTGAGTCAAACTAAATTTAAATGCACTTTATACAGTCAAATGTGCATGTAAATGGACCAAAGTAAAGAGTTGATTATTTACGATTCACTGTGCAGCCCTATTAAGAGTACAATCCGACGTCAAATACAGATGACGTGTTTCTTTCTTTGAATAGAGATTTGGACCATTAGCTCAGGGGTCAATGGACCAAAGAAGAAGAATAAAGTGTTGTCTATTACCGTACTATGCAGCCATTTATGCATTTTTTTTTTTACTACTGGGGGAAAATCTCTATTATTTTTTATTTATTCTGAAAGGACGCTAGTTGGAAACCATTATCATGCTTTGCAGCCGTCTACCTTGACAGTAGACAGCAGTCGATTGAGGACACAGACCCCCAGTGCAAAGGTCTCTGGACAGAACTGGAACAGCCTGCTCATCTCTCCGAGCCAGAGGATCATTTCTTGGTGTTGGGATGAAGAGATGTCAGCGCCCTGAGCGGTCAAAAGAGACAACCATTGGTTAATAAATGAAAGATTAGACGTCAGACGTTATTAAAGCAAATACTTAACTTGTTTCAGATTAGCATTTTTTTCCACAATGGAATATTTACGACCATTAACAACCAGATTCCTATGGTTAAAAAAAAAAAAAACACAAACAAACCCAAAAATCATGTTATTATTTTGACAGATATTGCAATATGATTCATGATTAGTGGGAATAATCATTTTTGCATTACAATTTTTATTTTCTCTGAAAAATCTATTAAAAATCATGATGTGACATTTGTTGGGGTC